CTGTCCAGGTTGCAGGGTGACTTTGAGGTGGGACTGTATCCTCCAGTGGAACCCCTATAATACAGCAGAGCACAGGTTTCTCCAGGCAGGGTGCTGGGATTGAATGCAGACTCCAGCACTCTCTCTGCAACCTGAGACAGGCTACCCAGTCTCTCTGGTCTTCAGTTTACCCATCTCCCAATGGGAACAATGGTAGTATCCGCCTCCATATTGTTGTAAGGGGTAAATGGAATGATATATCTATAGACGTTAAGCCAGTGCCAGGAACATGGTAAGAACTTAACAAGTTATTACTTAATTATCACCGTAGTAAGTTACTAATTATTACTAGTATTTATGATTATCCTTAACCTTGGTCAAGTGTAGACTAAACCAGAGGACGGAAAACTATCTTTATCTCGGGACAGGCAGATTCTGAGTGACAGTTTCCATTAGTGTTGTAATGGAATCTAAATAAATGTGGAAGGTCTGGTGTCCTTGGCAAAGAAGTCTGAAAGCTAACTCACGGGTAGAACTAGATCCTGGTGGTCAAGACTTCCTTTGCTTGGTGTGATGTACACCTTGCATGGAGCCTGCACATGGTAGGTTCGTGATAAATCAGAGCTATTAGTTATAGTTATTTTGTGTCCCTGGGACATATTTGCAGACTTAGGGAGTCTGTATCATTTCATTTCCAAGGCTGGAGTGTTTTCACAATACATACTGATTCTATGAAAGTCAACATTTGGAAGGTATATCAGTTAGTAGTTAATGCCATACAGGTGTACCTCAAAGATACAGATTTGGCTCTGGACCTCTGAAATAGGAATTTTGGGGTTTCCCAGTACACATAAAAGTATGTTTACATTTTACTGCAGTCTATTCAGTATGTTCTAGTAATTCTTAAAAGATACTGTACAAAGCTTAATTAAAAATACTGTATTGCTAAAAATGCTAACCATCATCTGAGCCTTCAGCAAGTCATAATCCTTTTGCTGGGAGAGAGTCTTACCTACAATTTGTAAAAACACAGTATCTATTAAACACAATAAAACGAGGCTCTCACTGTATAACAAGCCACCCTGAAACTCAATAGGTTAAAATAAATACACAGGTTGGGGCAAAAATGGAAAATAATACAGTAATTAATAAATAGTAATATAAGAATAAACCATGTTTCATGTACTCACAACTGTAAACCTCCTGTTGCCCCACCCTGTGTGTTCTCTCTGTGTCTGAAGGTTGGCTGGGGGATGGCTGATGTCGGCTGGGTTTGGATTCAAGCTATAGGTTGAATCCAGGTCTGTTCCGCGTGTCTCACCCTCCTCGGACCAGCATCTACCTGGGGCGTGTTCTTGTGCTGATGGCAAAAACTCAAGAGGTGATGCTCAATCTCACAAGCACATTTCAAGCTGCTGCTTATGTCATATCTGCTAACCTCCCGTTGGACAAAGCAAGTCAGATGGGCAAGGCTGAGGTCAAAGGAGGCAGAAGCATATCCTGCAAAGAAATACAAAGTCACAGGACCGGAGCGTATGGATACAGGGAGGGGTGGCGAGTGAGGACCACAAATCCAGCCTACCTAGTTCTCCATTTGACTTCCCCAATTTAGCCATTGCAATACCTGCTGTGAAAGGGCTTTCCTTGCTTTAGCAGGCGGTTCCCTGGTCCAGTACCTGCATTAAGATTCTAAAAGCACTCCAGGGTGGCATCGCAGCACATCACAAATTCCCCTTTGGTCTTTCGGAGCCTTTCCTCTGACAGACAGGAGTTTACTCTACTGTAAAGCAAAGAGTCCCAATTGAGACCCACAGGATGGATTAGGCAGACAGCGTCATTGACCTGGTTCCAGTTCATTAGCCTTTCCAATTAAGGAAGATGCTGCTGCAAGTGAGCCCTCACCACTATGGAGTCATACCTTGAATCCTCCAGATGCGCCTCTGTAGGGAGAGTCCTATATTTCAAATGCGCAGGGGAGGGAGTGCGAGGTGGGGGAAGCAAAATTCTGTTGACAAGTGAATCCTAGTGTGAATGACTGGCCACCAGTGAGTACTTCATCTTCTTGGCAAGGTAATTAACATGCTAAGTAGAGAGCATTTGTACTTTTGTCTTCCAAAAGCTTTTTAATGGATCTTGGACCCCTGACCTTGTGCCCATAGGGTCTCTGATCTTGGAGCATCAAATAAAGAGTTGCTGGATCACTCTATCCAGAGATCAGGCTCTGGGTTTTATCACCACAATTAACAGAGGTTTCCCAAGGAAGGTCTTTTCCAGTGAAGTTAGGGGCCCGAGATGGCATTTTCCCCTCTTTACCCCCTCGGGATCCTGGGCAATGAAGCATAAGCCCCAAACAATGGCCAAATAGGCTGTGAAGTACAACTTAATTAACCTGGGCATGCACCCAACACCCCAGTGCAGTGCTTTTGCAAGGATGTGGCTTAGAGAATGAGGCTAAGGTTTGAATCTCAGATGCAGCCTCTTGTCTTCTAGTCACCATTTCGATGGCGGGATCTGAATGGAGAGACAGAGACAGACTTCTCTGAGCTGGAGAGCAGGCGGAGCATGCTCTCACTGCCTAAGCTGCATGCCAGATCTGACTCACGCTGCCTATCACACACCAGGACGATGGCCTTACCTCCTGAAGACAAAAATGGGCCCTGCCAAGTGTGCTTGCTTAACGTGGGGAACCCTGGAAGTACAGGGCCAACTCTCCCTATGTACCAGTGATAAAGGGGCTGGGCAGAAGGGCTCCGTGAAGGACAGCTGGACCAGTGAATCTGTTTGCTCGAAAAAAGGGTCTCAGTGAAGGTTCTCCCCCATCATGGCTGCCACCTCTTCATGGTTGGGAAGGAGCTAGTAAAGGTTTGAAGAGAAAGGCCTGAAATATTCCCTCCAAGATTCTCGCAAGTCCCCAAGGGGAGAGTGGAGGAAATGTTCCCCTCAGCATTTTCCTAGGTATTAGGAGTATTCAGTGCCTGGGTGGAATGTGGAAATTAGATGTTCCCCTGGCAATTCCAGTTGAGCTGCACCATTGAAAAATGCTGGCTATTGGGCTCAGAAATAGAATTGGGGGAGAAGAGCCCTTCATCTTAAAAGAAAAGTTAGATCTGACCAGAGCTCAGAATGTCCCTGGGCTCATGGCTCTTATACTCATCAGAATTATTATAAACTAGAGGCCTGGTGCACGGATTCGTGCATCAGTGGGGTCCCTCGGCCTGTCCTGCACCCTCTCACAATCCAGGACTCCTCGGGGGATGACGGAGAGCCAGTTTTGGCCCAATCCCTGCAGGCCAGGCCAAGGGACCCCACCGGTGCACGAGTCCGTGCACCAGGCCTCTAGTATGCATATAAGATCTTTGGTTAATCTCTTCCTGCCCTCCTCCTCTTCCCTTCCCTCTGAGATTCATCAGTCTGTTCATGTTTCCATGCCTGTGGTTTCTGCTCCTGCGTTGAGCGTCTGCCCCTTGGTGGTCAGTGCACATCATAGCTACCGACCGGTTGGCTGGTCGGCTGGTCACTTAGACTTGTATATATATAGATAGGCATCATTGTAAAGGTACTGCAGAGGAGTGATCCAGAAAGTGACCTTTCATCTAGAGTAGGGGTTCAAAATGTTTTAATTTCTCTTTTAGTCCTTTATTTTATTGCGCTAAGAATACTTCACATGAGATTTACCCTATTGACAAAATTGTAAGTGCACAATATGTATTGTTGACTATAGGTACAGTGTTGTACAGCATATCTCTAGAGGTTATTTATTATCTTGCTCAATTAAAGCTCTAAACCCATTCAACAGCAACTCCCAGTTTCCTTCCCCCTGCCCCTGGCAACCATCATTCTACTCTCTGCTTCTACAGGTTTGACTATTTTAGATTCCTCATATAAGTGGAATCATTTCTAAACGTCCATGTTCATTGAAGCCATATTTACAATAACTAAGATAAGGAAACAACCTAAATGTCCACTGATGGATGATAGAAGAAAATGTGGTATGTGCATATAATGGAACAGTATTCAGCCCTAAAAAAGGAGATCCCGTCATATGTGACAACATGGATGAGCCTTGAGGACATTACTCTAAGTGAATAATTTAGACACAGAGGACAAATATGGCATGATTACTACACGTGTTCTTTCTTGTTCACTATACAGTCCAGTGAGCTGGTGCTAATTTGCATGGCTTCCTCGAAGCCTGTGTTGGAAAACCTGCTTGGATAAAGCAAACCGTCCAACTGGGCTTCCACGTCATGCCCATTCTCTGTAAGAGGCAGCTTGAGGCTGCTTTCCCAGAGTTACAAATCCAAGATGGTTAAGTTCAGAGCCAACATTGTGCAGACAAAAATAGCCTTTATGTGCTGGGTTTCCTGTTTTTCTTGGAGGCTGTTAGCTGAAAACCACTACCTCCTTCCCATCCGTCCCTTCCTTCTGTGTGCCCACCCTGGCCCCCACCCAAAGAGTTCATGTTTAATGACCCGAGACATGACCACCAGGCATTTTCAGTCAATCGGCTTTTGTAGAGAGTGAATGAATTGGACTTTTCTCTGGCCTTCTTTCTCCTGAAAAGGATCTTCCCAGCCCATTGGAATGTGCTCTGCAGACTAGGAATTAAGCTCTTCTCTTTGTCTTGTTTCTTCCTTCAATCTTTCCAAGATCAGACACAAGCTGGTGGCCTTGTCCCTAATTGGGACTTTATATTCTTTCAAGTTTATTTCTCATTCTCTTATGGACAGCTTTCCCTTCACATAGAGAGTTTGAATGCCCTTGGAGATATTCAGTGAGGATGCTTTGTTTATTTCTTTACACTTCCTCATTCTTCATGATCTCCATGCAGGTGCCCCCTTCACCTCTTAATGAAAAACTTGAGTCTGCTTAATTTTCTGGGGGTTGGGGAGACATTGGAGATTGGACCACGCTGTTCTCGTGTCTTGCAGAACGGGGGAGACAGAGTTGGGCGGCTTACCTATGGGCGGCTTACGCACTGAAGAGACCCAGCTTTGGTTTGAATGATGCTGGAGCAGTAGGTTAAATTTGCCCACCACTCATGTGTATTTTCTCCTTTCTTCCCACAGGACCCACACCCAAGTCCGCTGATCACCCTGGAGACCCAGGTCAGTACCTTCCCATGGTCTTTGTCACTTATCTCTGCACTGATGTCCCTGCATCAGTTCTCCAGGGCGCATCTGTGTATCCTCTTGGCTCCATGGCTCGGAAAGCCTGGACAGACACAAAAGCTGTCTTCCTGTCCTGTCGGCATGTGCATGTACTCACATGTGCACACACACAACAGCTGATTGTGTGTGTGTGCACACACGTGTGTACCCAGGTGTCTGAAAGCATCATGGGAGGTAGAAGAGGTTATGGGGGGATAAATGGTGATGGAAGGAGACCTCATTTGGGGTGGTGAACACATAATACAATATACAGATGATTGTACCCCTGAAACCTATATAATCTTATTAACCAATGTTACGCCAATAAATTCAATTTGATAAAGAAAGGAAGAAAGAAAACACCACAGAAAGAAGGACAGGAAGGCCAGACGTTGTTGGGAGAGAGAATTCTCAGGGTTTCTCTGTGTTCTTCTGTCCTCGGATTTCCCAGCATACACTTTTAGTTATGTCGGCTTCAGGGGTGACCAGACCACAGAGCTGGCAGGAAAGAGAAATGGGTGGGAGTTCAAGGGGCTTAGGACCCAGTTCCTTCTGCCTCTTTGGTCATCCTCTGGCCTGGCTTTTCCACATTCCTTCATTCACCTATCACCCGAGCCATGTTTGCATAAAGTACACTTGTTCTATCACATCACCTAAATATACATTTTTCCTTAAATTATTATTTTTTTTTACTTTCAAAGTAGACTGATCTTAAGCTAATGGTTCCCAATCAGGGGTAGCTTTGACCCCCAATGGGCAATAGGCCATGTCTGAAGACATTTCAGGTTATGTCCCCTTGTAGGATGGGTTACTACTAGCAACTAGTAGGTGGAGACCAGGGATGCTGCTAAATATCCCCCAGTGCACAGGACCTCTGCCTAGGAAGGAATTATCTAGCCTAAAATTGCCAATGGTGCCAAGCTTGACAAACGCTGTCTCCGGCAAAAATATCCGTGAAATCACAAGTTTGGTGTGCTAGTTAAGTTTCTTTTGCAAAACATTAAAATCAATATTAAATCAATAAAATTTAAAAGTTCCTTTGGGTGGCCTCTAAAAGCATCGAAAGGTACTCCTTTAGACGTAGGTGTTCTGCACTTTGGGAAATGGGTCTCTCCCCGGGCTACCCAGCGGATTGTGAGCGAACTTCCAGGGCATTTTAAAAGTGATGGCTCTTCTCTTTTTTACCAGTTCCCCCCCACCAGGAAAACTCATTAAACTCAGAACACCCCCTGGGAAAATAGTCTGTGTCCAGAATTCTAGAAGCCAAATCTCACTTCCTGGGGGTGGCGTTGTACTACCCCCTATGGTCTGTCCTTGGCCCTCCTGAGTCCTTCACTATGGAAACCGGCTAATCAGCCCTTCAGAACCTCCATGGGAAAGAGCAGTCACGTGCCAGTGGCTTTGGCCGGCACACTGTGAGTGTGATAGCTCACCCCTACCCAGCGACCTCTCTTAGAGTCACAGCCATTACCCAGGGGGCCCGAGCCTCACGCTGCAGCCAGCCATGGCACGAGACTGGCTTTCTGCATTTGTGCCACGCCCCTGGGGAAATGATTCAATTTGTCCCCAAACAACACTCCATCAGTCTCATCTGGTTCTTGGTCTCTGGGGAGCCGTCGGATGTTGTCGTCTTTCCCCGACTTCTGGTTTCCCATGTTAAAGAGACACTGGAACCCAACCAAAGTGCAGTTTTTTTGAACTGTTGGCACAAGCCTGTGGCCAGATCTTACTTTGTGCTGGGCCTCAGCCCATCGTGTGAGTCGACCCTATTCAGCTGCGGCAGGCAGGTCAGACAGGAGGGGCAGGGAAGCGTCTTCTGGCAGAAAGTGGTGCCCTAGATATTACCCACATGGCACGAGCAATATGGCAGCTG